AGATAGCAGGAACTTCTGATCCCCACTTCTTTCCTTTTGGCTGTCTCTCTCCACCTCCTCTGTAAAACAATTTCCCTTTCATACATCTCCCAGCCCTTTCTCCCCTTTCTTTCATGTAAATTCTGGAGGTTTCCTGGTTTCAGCTAAAGGGCATATGAAGCTCAGGCAATATCTTTGTTGCTAGCAGACAGCTTGAAAATCCTGAGGAGAGGTGCCAGGCAGAGCAGGAAGATCAACATAGGAAGATCAAAACAGAGAGATTTGGATATTTGCTGTACCATTATAGAAGACCGGTTTCAGCGTAGCAGCCGTGTTAGTCTGTATCCGCAAAAAGAACAGGAGTACTTGTGCCACAAGTACTCCTGTTCATTATAGAAGAGTTGTACTATGATTATGCAAATCCTTCTATTTTGGCTAATAAAGTTCATCCACCAGTCGGAACCAATCAAGGCACAGGGAGTTTTGTAAGTGTACAGTATCCCTGCTGTCTGATTGGCTGAGCCAGTTCCATTTCTGTGTGATACGAGATACTCTTGATAAAATCAGATAGTTCCAGTATTGTTAGAGGGACTTTAAGATGACACTTTAGGAGGTTCTGTGCCTTTGAGATGGTTAAGTTAGTAAGAAAATTCCATGACTCCTGCAAGTTGTTGTTAAGTGATATACACTAATATTCTGTATCACCAATGGTACTTTCCCTCCTTAAACAGATTTTTTCTTTGCTTAAATTTGAAAAAAAGAAAAGGGGGAAAAAAAGGAAAGCATAATTAGTATAAATTCTTCAATCTTTTTAATTTAAAATATAGCTTCTGAACAGTACACGGGCTTGGGGGCAATTAAAATATAAGAAACTTGTCTTTGTGTGCAGTCATGCTTGCATCAGAGAAGATGCGCTATAATGCGAAAGTGCCATTGTGCCTCTGTTACTACAAGGCTAGTATTACACTCTCAGAACTGCCTTTGTACTCTTGATTCTTTTGTGTTGATGAATCTGATTATAATAAAACAAACTCCTGTGAATCATAAATATCTCCCCGGAAATAATCTTCTCAACTATAGAAAATCCCTAGTGGAGCTTTCTATTTTGGATTTTTCTATAAGCTGCCAAGTTGGACTCCTTAGCTTCTGTGATAGAGTGAATGAGACTGCAGTTCCCTCATCAGTTTCATAATGCTCAGAATGCTTCCATTTACATCTCCGTGTGCAATGCAGGGCAGCGGGCTGCCAGGAAATTTGAAACTATTTTGATTCCAGTTGACTAGAACAGCAGCAATTGAATTAGCTTGTATCATTATAGATAAACTGATGATCTATGCATATTCATTGACCAATGGGTAACTGCTGGAGCTACAGTAATCTCTGTGAGTAGGAGACTTTGTTGAAATAAATATATATTTAGCTAGCTAGCTACCACAGAGAGAGAGAGAGACATTTTTGTAAAACGTTCCTGTGAAAATGTCTTTCTATATTTGTAATGTGTGTTTGATTCATTTTCTTTTTGCTTCCTAGCCTTTCCTTTATTATGCCATGACCAAGCTCCTGTGTTAGATTGAAATTTGATGGTTGATTATTTACATATGAAGTATCGTATTTATGCCAGTGCAGATTAAGTAATGGATTCTTTAAATCTCTAGGCATCAAAAAAGTGCCAGCTGCTCTCAGGCTATATTTTCCGGTGTCTCAGCTTTCCTTCCGTACACTTCTCTTGCTATTTTAGCTTAGAGCCTTTTTATTTTTTATTTTGCTTTATCGAAAGAAGCAACCTTAAATGGAAAGTAGAAATTGGTGTTACCTGAAAGAGTGTATCCTTTCATCGTTTATTGTTCTGCTTATCTTCAGCGGAGCACCTGATTTTGCTGTTCCTTTTCTAGCCTTGTTTGTAATGCAGTCATGTTGGGGGATGGGGGCTAGACAGGATATGCTGGGAGCTGTAGCAAGACATGATGCTGTGGTGGTGGATGGGAAGAGGGGAGGGGTTTCCCTTAAAGAACTCAAGCTCCTTTAAACACTGCTACCTGAAATAAGGCACTAGCGTTGTAGTGAGCCTTTTTTAAGAACAGGTGGTCGCTGGTCGACCTTCCTGAATGTGTTCCTGCAAAGAATAGAGACCACGGTAAAGTTGACTGTGGAAGTTGGTTCTGTAGGTCATATCAGAAAAGGTTATTGCTTTGATTGCTTATTTCACATGTTTTCTTTAGGAACATTTTAGATTGAATCTACAAAAAGAAGAACAGGAGCCCACTACTTCGGGCTGTAGTTCACGAAAGCTTATGCTCTAATAAATTTGTTAGTCTCTAAGGCCTTGGCTACACTTACCCGCAAGTTCGACGGCTGGAAATCGAACTTCTGGGTTCGACTTATCGCGTCTAGTCTGGACGCGATAAGTCGAACCCGGAAGTGCTCGCCGTCGACTGCGGTACTCCAGCTCGCCGAGAGGAGTACCGCGGAGTCGACGGGGGAGCCTGTCTGCCGAGTGTGGACCAAGGTAAGTTCGAACTAATTCGAACTAAGGTACTTCGAACTTCAGCTACGTTATTCACGTAGCTGAAGTTGCGTACCTTAGTTCGAATTAGGGGGGTAGTGTAGACCAAGCCTAAGGTGCCACAAGTACTCCTGTTCTTCTTTTTGCGGATACAGACTAACACGGCTGCTACTCTGAAACCTTAGATTGAATCTAGTTTGAGATAATCAATTTGCTGTTTCTTCCTGGGACTCCAATAAAGGGCCAGATTCTTATTTAGAGTAGGGCTCTTTCACAACACTGGCCGTGTAAAGGGACCTTGGAGTGGGCTTTATATTGGAAGATCAGTATAACGGGGGGTGTAGTGTAAATGAGAATAAGACCCTAAATCTCTACTGCAAACGTGTAGTTTTTGCTTTAGCCCAGTGAGTCTTTTAACTAGCACTCCTCTATTCTTTGGATGCACCGTAGAGCTTTGGCCATGGTTTTGCGAGGGATTAGGTTACTCATGGAGCTAATGAAAAAAATGAAAACATCAGAAACTTGTTGTGAGTTGTTTACTGCTTTACTAAGCAGCTGCCTTGTCACATAGAGTGAGTGGGGAAGCTCACAGCTGTGCCCTATATTCATTGCCTGAAAACTAAGCTCTGCACTGTTTTTCTTGGATTGCTTCAGAAGCCAAGGTGGCCTTTGAGACTGACAAATCCCTTGCAAGGGTTTTAGGTTTAAAACATGGTCACTGATTGTCCTTGTAGCTTACCTGCTACAGTCAGCATGCAGCTGGCTTGTGAAACTCATGCAGGCAAAGCTGAATGCATGTTGGAAGCATTCTGGCTGCTTCTAGAAATGCATTTTCTAAGCAATTCTTCAGCATATGAGAGGAAGTCATGGCCGTTTAGCTGTGTTTAGGCAAAAATATTTAAGTAAGGGACTCCTTATAAGTAGAGCCCTGCAAACCTGTGGATATCTGCTTTATATCAGATGCAGATATCCGGCGACCATTTTTGCGGCTCGGATGCAGATACAAATACAAATAATTCAGCCTGTCCGTGTGCTTAGGTAGCGGTTAATAAATATTACTGCTTAGAAACTGTTCAGCCTTCTTTCACTCTCCTATACATTTGCTGAAGAACTAGTAGGTTAAAAAACTGGTTCAGCATCTGCCTATTTCTCTTTTAAAAATTCCATTTGATCTATCTTTGGAGATAGGGCCACAAACTGTATTGCCACGATGCACTGCTACCGTAAGGACATGTTAGGATTATCTGAAAGAGTTGGGTGCCATTAATAACGTCCCTATGAATTTTCATCTCAGAGAGATGAAGTAAACAGAATCTAGCTATTCACAGTTATTGGAGAGCCTTTGACTTCATTACTTTGGGGCTACATGGCAATTAGACATGGGCTATGAAATGGGATCTAAATCCTAAACCCTCCAGATTTGTTTAAATTTATGAAATGTAGGTCCATGTCCAATTCCAGATATATTCCCCAGGCCCACGTCAGAGTAGGGGTGGGGTATGAAGCCGGGAGATGGTTTCGATCTGGATCTCAGCCCATCTCGGTACTGTAATAATAATAATAGATACAACTGGGTTCTAAAACATGCTTTTAGTTTTCTTCTGAATGACTAAGCAAGTACTCAAGGCCAGATTTTTCCGAAAGTGCTCAGCCTCAGCATAGGCACCTAACTGAAGTGGCCAGAGATTCGTAAGTGTAGCCTCCAGCAGCTCCCATTGAGAACAGTTGAATTAGTGTTGACGGAGAACAATCGGAGCTGCTGGATGCTTAGCTCCTTTGAAAATCTGGCCATCAGTTTCCTCAATTGCTTTATTTTTATCAGCTTGAAAAACAAGACTGAAAACCCCCCAGCCTCTGTGTGTGACACTGGATTTCATCTTTCACTGGAAAGTTGTAAAGTGTGCTGATAAATGTCCATGCGTCGCTGCAGTTTGGTCCTCAATTATACAAGTTCTGAAAAGACGAGGGTGTAGTGCTAGAGAGTGTCATAGTTTATTAATTACCTTATAATCAGCTAATTGGAATCTTGCTAGCATTTCCCGTTTTGTTTGTGTACTTGTGGGATATGTGGGATCTGACCAGTTGCTCTTTAGAACAGCTAAAAAGAGAAAATGATAACAACGTTAATGTATAAAACACAAGGTAATGCACACATCGTGGACGGATGTTAAACCTCCAGATACCTGCTTACTTCAGTTCCCTCATCTGGCATGTGTCCCATGCTATTCACAGACCACTGGGACCCTGTGAAGCTCAGCAAATATTTTGGCATTCTTAACTTGGCAGTGCTAACTTCCAAAAATATGCTCCCCCGAAACTCAAAGGTAAAAAGCCCGATTTTGAATAAATACAGTGCAGTAGCATTCAAAAAGAGCTAAATACAATAGCATTTCTCTGCAGTGGGCTTGCAGAAACAATGCAGCTAATCTGTTAGCAGAACACTGGGAATGGAGCTAATACCCTTAACAAGTAGATGGATGTACCCAATAGACAAATACACTCTCTTTCTTTTGTGTAGGTGGACAAGGAGATAGCACTCTGCTCCCACATAACGCTTCCAATGAATTTCCAGAATATGGCACGATGGAGCAAGGTGCAGAAGCACTGAGGAGTTCATCGGAGTTTCTAGCAGAGGCTATAACATGCAGTTCAGAAAGGAGGGAGGATGACCAGTTGCCTACTCTTCTTGCAAGTGGCACTTATGCAGATTTGCCAATATCTTGCATTGAGACATCACTGCTACCAACGAAAGAAGAACCGTTGCCACGTGCTGATAGACAGACTGGGATTATGAAAATTTCTCAAGAGCTAGAAGCTGCAAAAGTACAGAAGGGAGCAAATGCTTCTCTTTGTTCAGAGCTGCAAATGGAAAAAGAAAGGAATATTGGCAGCCAAGGCATACAGGCAGCCAGAGAATTGGTTCCAGCAGGCCAAGAAAAACCCTCAGACAAGCCTCTTCCATCTGAAGTGAGAGCTGAGGAGAAATTGTATTTGATCATAGAAAAAGATTTGGCTACAATAGTAACTGGAGAAATGCAGTTAGAGTCCTTCCAAGCCATCAATAATAAAACTGAGGAGGTCCCCAAAGTGAAGGAGACAAGCTGTCACAGACCATCTGTACCAGCCCTGGAGGCAGACAGCAAAGTTGGGGGCGTTATCAGTATTCTGGGGGAGGGATGGTCAGATTTTGAGAAGGAATTTTCAGCGTACAATCCAGGCGAGATGCAAACGGGTCCTGGGAGGAGGATCTCGAAAGAGGCAGCTGTGAGCAAACATGTAGAATTTCAAGGGGTGGAGATTTTATGGATACAGAAAGCAGAGGAGCAGAAGGGAGTGAAGCATTCAGCGCGAGAGGTCAATGCACACTTACAAAGGGCCGTGTCTGTAGAAAAGAAGTTCTCCAAAGCATCAAGCCACCCCATTCCAGCCTCTGTCTCTTCAGAGTTAGTCACTTTGTCTGAGAGTGTTTGGAACGAAGCCCCGGCAGATTTCAAACCAGGAGTTGGCTCGGAGTCCTTTTCTCTAGCTTTGCTAGCTGAAGGTGGGGAGGATGAAGTCTTTGTGAAGGATAAACTTGCAGAAGAAAAGAACCACATGCTAAACACAGACAGTGAAAGGTAAGAACATTCTTTGGGGCAGGGACTGAATTCCCACGTGTGGGCCATGCCTAACTCCCTGTGGGAGTTGCTGCTGTGCAAATGACTGATTATTTGCTATTATTTGCCTCCTGTATAGAATGTTATGGAGATGACTGTAGTGATGGCAAAGTTAATGTGGAGTTGAGGGTTGTGCTGAAGCAGGACTAAAATCCCTCTGTTCTACACTTCTAAAGTTTGAATTTAGTCTCCAAATTCCTCTGAAGAGGAATTCTGTTGTTTGCTCTTTACACAAGACAACATGAAGAAACCCACGTGGGCACAGTTAGGTCCCAGATAACTGTGTTGACTAAATATATGCAACAGGCAAGGCCTAGCTACATACGTACTGCTGCTCTGACTGATTTCTGGCAGGGTTTTAAACATAGAACACAGTGAGTGTCTCCAGAAGGATCACAAATTATTTAAAAGGATACCGCCCGATTCCTATACACTACAAGAGGATAATGGCATTTTTTATATTACATATATAACATTTTTTTGAATGTTTGTCCCTTATTCAAATTGTGTCCTGTTTTCTTCACATTTGTTTGTATTCCTCTTGGTCAGGGGTTCTCAAACTGGGGGTCGGGAGGTTATTACATGGGGGGTCGTGAGCTGTCAGCCTCCACCCCAAACCCCGCTCTGCCTCCAGCATTTATAATGGTGTTAAATATATTAAAAAGTTTCTTTAATTTATTAGGGGGGTCGCCCTCAGAGGCTTCCTATGTGAAAGGGGTCACCAGTACAAAAGTTTGAGAACTACTGCTCTTGGTGAATGACGATAGGGCCTCCCTGCGAACCTGCACACTAGGGTGACCAGACGTCTCGATAAAATCGGGACCGTCCCGATTTTGAGCTGTTTTTTAAAACATATATGGAGTCAGTCCTTTTATTACTCAGGATCCTCTGAGTTTTGCCATGATTGCCCAATGGAATGGCTCTGTAGTGTTGATTAATCTTGTGATTTTATCACTAATCTCATGATATTTGTTGGATTTCTTAAAGCTCCAAATCCCGGAGCCATGTGACTGTGAGAATTTCAGCGGTCGTTTTAAAACAAAAAGTTTTGAGCCCTCCTGGTTGTGGAGAAAAGCTTAAACATGTGATCTGAGTGCACCCTGAAGGCTCAGAAACCAGAAGACAAAAAAGTGTATTGTATTATGTTTTTAAAATCTCATGATTTTTAAGCCATCTCATGATTTTTGGGGGCCCTGGCTTTTGATTTTTCAATACTTGGAGTTGGTTCCGTGATGAGAGGCAAAATACCAGTGGGGAAAAAGGAACACTTGAAAGATGTTCAAACCTTTCTTTTTGTTAAAGTTTCCCGAGCAGTTGTAGGCAGGCTGCACGGCATGGAACGTGAGGGTGGGCACTGGGGCAGGGATGTGGCTTGAGGGATTATGTGGGGCTTTGGCAAAATGGGGAGGAGCTGTGTAGTGCTGGGACCCAGAATTTGAGGAGAACAGGGTTGTATAAAGCGAGGGTTGGTATGGTGGAGGGCAGGTCTGTGTCTCTATGCAAAGGCATCGGCATTAGAAAGGCTCTGCTGGTTGCTCCATCCGCTCTCTGGCACACCAGGCCACAGCTCCAGGGGAGCCATTATTTCTGTACGGCATGATCAGTGTGTCAGGGCTGATTCCCCACTCTGGCACTTGGAGTGCAGAAGGTGGGGGCCCGCGTGGATTCTAAAAATTAATACTGGCCACTCCAGGCTGGTATTAAACTCCCAAGGTTACAGCTTCTACCCATCCAAGGTCAGAGAGATGCTGCCATCACCCAAGTGCAAAAGAACGCCCCCCTTTTGGGAACCGAGGAAGGCACACTTGAGAATTCCTTCCTATGGGGTACCCTCAAGCCCTTTTACCCCCTCACCAGGGAAGAGCTGAGAAAGAAAACAAAGGATATCAGCTGTTGCCACCAGCTAATTATACAATATATGCACAAACCTCTTAGGACACCAGAAATCCAATCCTGTTCTTAAAAAAGGTAAATGTTATTAAAAACAAAAAGAAAGAAAATACATCTGGAATTTAGGCTTTTGCTAGATTTACAAAACCCACTTACAAAAATTAAACATCAAGAATAACCTTCTTGAGGTCCAGATTAAAGGTTACAAGCAAAACAAAAGCATTTGGGGTTAGCATAGAGGAGTTTATAAGAAATAAACAAAATAAATCTAATCGCGTCTTCCTACTTATTTTCTGATCTACTTACATATCTGGGTTTCCAAATAAGCAATTTCTAGGTATATTTCTCATGATTTTCATATCTGGCCTTCAGCTTCTCACAGCATAACTGCTGCCATGTTCCCCTCTTCCCCAGAGACTGGGGGGCGGGATAGCTCAGTGGTTTGAGCATTGGCCTGCTAAACCCAGGGTTGTGAGTTTAATCCTTTAGGGGGCCATTTAGGGATCTGGGGCAAAAATCTGTCTGGGAGGTGGTCCTGTTTTGAGCAGGGGGTTGGACTAGATGACCTCCTGAGGTCCTTTCCAACCTTGATATTCTATGAACAACCACCACGGACAAAGGGAAGTTTTCCCCCAATTTTAAGAAGTTCTGGCCCTCCCGTTGACTCTTTTGGTCAGGTGTCCATTCACTTCCCTTTACCGACTTTTTAACCTTTTAGAGGTAAAGCAAGTAGAGAACAGCTACCAAGAGGGATTCTATAGCTAACTGGTTAGCTGGATGTCCACAAAAGTGAGCTGCCCCCTTTCATTTATCACACAGTGCATCAAGAGCACCCCATGGTGCTGCTGTTTCCGTGCACCAGGGAGTATAGGGCCCCTGGAGTGGCGTCCTTCACTCGCTCCAGGTCCCCCGGAGCTTCTTCCGCTCCGGGTCTTCGGCAGCAATTTGGCGGTGGGGGTCCTTCCGCTCCAGGACCTGCCGCCGAAGTGCTCCGAAGACCCGCTGCAGGGGGTCCTTCCGCCCCAGGACCTGTCGCCGAAGTGAATCCTCTGGGCGGCCCTGTTTCAGGGGCTACTTAGGCACCTGAAAACTCTAGGTTTTTGGCAGATGATAACTTAGAAATTATCAGAGGGGTAGTCGCGTTAGTCTGTATCCACAAAAACAATGAGGAGTCCGGTGGCAACTTAAAGACTAACAGATTTATTTGGGCATAAGCTTTTCTGGGGTATTTATTTGGGCATAAGCATCTGAAGAAGTGGGGTTTTTTACCCACGAAAGCTTATACCCAACTTAGAAATTAGCTGACAACAGCACTGTATCTATAAAGAAAGAAAAAAGTATATATACAAACATCAAATAAAGACATGTGATGGGGTGTACCTACCCCGCACTAGCCCCGAAAGGGTAAACTCTGCTTTGCAGGCTGAGGAAGCTCCGCCCCTGCTGGGCATGCTCACCTGGAGGCAGCATATAAAAGGTAGCAGCCCAGATCAGTCTGGGGAGGCTGCTGATGGGGAAGGATACAGGCTGCAAGATCACTGCAGGGAGTTGCTACAAACTCCGATTATGGGACTATGGCTCACAGAGTTCCTGACTGGAGACTCCAGGCTGCCCGGTGAGCCCAGAGAAAAGACGGAGCCTGGCCATTTGGGGACCCAGGGAGTTTCGACGAGGTGGAAAGGGTAAGAAGCAGCCAGGGGTCTTGAACTCTTTGTCAGTGAGTAAACCGGGGGATTGGTCAGCATGTTTTGGGAGGATCCCCGCTGACTCAGTGGTGAGCACCCCCACCACCGCTAGGGCCCTGGGTTGGGGCTTGGAGGAGCAGGGAGGACGTGAGTCCCCTAATTCGGAGTGCCACACACCCCTGAGTGGCGCCTCACTCTCCCAACGGGCCAACCGGCCGTGCAATCTCACAGAGGAGGGCTACTTCATTGACTCTGGCCATTGGGCCACGCTGCCCTGACGGGAAGGGTCACTCACTGACTCTGGTTGCTAAGTAATACTACCCCATGTTACAGTAAGGGTCATTGGCATAGGACCTGACCGGCTGCAGAATCGCCTCCGCCCTTCCATCTAACCCTACGTGACCCGACACCCCCTGGTGGGGTGTACCTACCCCATGACAGCAAATTGTAAATTTATATGTAAATTTAGAACAATCAGGAGATAATCCAGCAGGATATTCCCAATGCCAAGCCTTGAGGTACCAGTTTTGGAGCCTTAATACAGATATCAGAAACACAAGTTACTCATTCTCAGATTAAATTTGATCAATTACCCGGTAACTAGGAAGATTTTTTTTAATTCCTGCCCTGGCTTAACCTTGAAAGCCAAATTGGGTTCTTTCTGCTTCTTTCATCTTCACCAGTAATACAGTTCACAATTCTGTTGGTGTGTGAGGAATACAGCTTGCTTTCCTTGACTGATATTGGTTCCTGCACCATTAAGAGTAAAAACATGTTTGTAGTTATAAAATAAAGGGATTTGACTTGAAATAGAAAGTAGAAGTATTTGATTGTGGTGACGTTTTTACAGGGCCACTTTTCTGACCACAACTGGACTTTAAAGAAGAAAACAACATTTATTACTGTCAGGCTGGACATACAAGATGTGCCAATGAACAACCTTATTATCCATCATCTAAGTCATTAGTTAGGAGAGTGTGCGGTTTTGAGGGTAGAGTAGCAGAATGGAGATCAGGGCTGAGATACATTTCCAGCTCTTATCCTTGTCTACACTACCACTTACTTCAGTATAGGGTATGTCGCTCAGGGGTGTGAATAAGCCACCCCCCCGAGCGGCGTAAGTTACACCGACCTAAGTGCCGGTGTGGACAGCGCTATGTTGGCGTAAGAGCTGCTCCTACCAACATAGCTACTGCCGCTCACGGAGTTGGAGTTGTTATGCTGAGGGGAGAGAGGCATAGAGCGTCTTCACCAGATGTGCTACAGTGGCGCAACTGATGTAGTGCTTCTGATGTAGTCCTAACATCTTCCAACATTTTATGGCAGGTAAGGGACACTGGTTAGGTTTAAAATGTTAAAGTATATTCCTACTTTGTTACAATTGAAATAATTGTAGAAAAATCTAGATTACTTTCTATCAGGCTACTTACTTTTTGCAGTTCACCAAACTTCAAATAGATTATTTAACTCTTGGAAACATCCTACTAGGGCAAGGCCCTGTGAGTTTATACTGCACCTGCCTGGGGCTCTCTGGGTGTTACTGTAGTACAAACTAGAAACTGACTTTAAACAGGAGTGAAACTGATACTTTAAAGTCACTTTCACTTCTGGTTAAAGGCTAGTTGCTTTCCAGAAGGCTCTTAAACACAACACTACGGTGATTGATCTGCAGCTCTCACTGGAGAATATCTAAAACCAAGCCCCAAGAAAATTCCACATTTTAATGTTGAGAAAAAATTGAGTCTTGTTTATTATTTAGAGTTTGTGTGTGTGTGTGTGTGTGTGTGTAGAGTACCATTCTGTGTTTGGACACTGTGCCTTAGTTACCATTGCTGTAAAATGGGAATAACAATACATGCCTGCCTGCCATATGGAATTCTAAGGGTTAGATTCAGATCTGTGGGACCGGAACTGGGACTTCTTAATGGTTTGTATGGTGCCTAGCACAATGGGGGACTCCTACTGATTAAGGTCTTTGGGCGCTACTGTAATGTTAGTCAGCTGTTGAGATGCCTGCTGGTGGTAGCTGAAGGGGACTTACCGGGTGGGTGGGATGCCAGTGGAGTACAGGTCGATCTCTGTGCTGGCCAGCAGCACGGCCTTCCTCCCCTGCCAGCTCAGCACCTGCTGGCAGAATTTGCAGCACAGCCTGGGGGGGGGGGCACCTGTCCTTGAAGCTGCAACCACTAGTGGACATGAGGGCTCTGGAGCAGAAGGGCCTGTGCCCGGTCTCTTAAGGAGTGGAGAGGTTGCTCCCTGCTTCTCTGAGGGCAAATGGACCTCCACACCCATGTAGCTGCTCCTAGCCTCCCCTTTTTTACCTCCCCTTGCCCCAGGGCCTCCCCTTTTTCACCTCCACTTGCCCCAGGGCCTGCTCCCACACCCCCTGCTTCCTCCCTCAGAGCACAGCCCTATGCCCTCATCTCTTTCTTCCCCTGGATGTTGACTCCCCTTTCCCATTCCACTGGACCTCTCCCACCCAGGCTCCAACACCCCCCGCCACTGGGGGCCCTCTCCTTCCCACCACCACCACATCTGGGGACTGTCTCCTTCTCCTCCTCCCCCCCCCCATCACCACTCGGGACCCTGTGCTCCCCTTCCCCTCCCCCCCCCGACTGACCCCTTCCTTGCCTGCCCCCACCCTCAGAGGCAGACGAGGGGACGGATGGGAG